AGAGTGGATTATATTCCTGTTATTTCTTAACAAAGAATCTTTCAGATTCTTCTTAAAAATATTTTAGTATCTGAGACTTTTGTGATTATGTTCCATTCACATTTTTCAATTTATATTTTGGTCTAATTGAAAAGTAGGAGCTCTACTGGCCTAGTGATAAGGAGTGGTGCTGCCACCCCAAAGGCCGGTACTTCAAATCCACCAGCTGCTCTGAGGGAGAAAAGTCTCAAGTCTCTTCCCATGTGATTTACAGCCTCTGAAATCCAGGTGGCAACTCCATGGCACAAAACAAAAATGATACTGTTCTCTTTTTTTATTGATGCGTAAGGTGATCACTTTACTTTAGAAAAAAATGGACATACTGTAAAGTGGTCACTTTACTTTTAAAAAATGGACGTAGTGGAAGCAAGTTCACTCACTTGTACTACGGTGAATAAAATCTTATAAAAATTTTGAAAAAGTCACTGAACTCAATCAGGACAGTATATATCATTTATAAAAATTTTGTGTTACGGGGGAAGGCCCTCTATGAGGTGGATTGATTCAGTGACTGGGATAATCGGGATGGGAGTGTCAGACAGTGCGATTGGCACAGGACAGAGCAGAATTTAGGGCTGTTGTACATAAGGTCGCTATGAGTCTCAAGCGACCCGACAGCACATAACAACATAAGCCTTGTATAGAGAATCAAACTATTATAAAATTATTGTTTAGAATAAATGGTTTGCAGAGCTAAAATGTTTTAATAGGACAGTATTCTAAATACGTCTGTGGCCAAAGCTTCTGACATTTTCTAAGTTCAGTGCTTTTCTTCTACTGCTTCAGGGATTTTATTTACACTGTTTACCATGACAAATAGCCTGTCACCATCTTGCTGCTAAACTGAGACCTTTTAAATTCAATATATGTTATTTTAGAAAGCTTTTCCTTGGCTAAGTCAATGTCGTCAGTTAAATCTTGCCATCCCATAATACAGCTTTTAAACATCTGTGCATCAGGGGTCACAAAACAACAACAACAAAAACCACAAAACCCCCCCAAAACCATCTATGCATGCTGTATAGTTGATATTAGTCAGTATGCCATAACAAAGCAGCACAAACTTGGGTGGTGTAAAACTATAGAAGTTTATTCTCTTAGAGTTCCCAGGTGTTAAAATTTGAAATCCAAGTGTGGACTGAGCCATGCTTCCTTTAAAGCTTCTAAGGAATAATTATTTTCCTGGCTTTTCCAGTTTATGCTACTTCCCTCAGTCCTTGGTTTGTAGATACATCACTTCAAACTCTGTTTCCATCTTCACAAGCCCTTCTCTGTGGTGTCTCTGGCTTTATATTTCCTAAGGACATCAACCATAAGGTTTAAGGCTCACACCAATCCAGCAAGACCTCTTCTTAATTGCATTTGTAACAACCCTATTTCCAAATAAGGATATAGTTATAGATTCTCAGTGAATATAAAAGGTGGGGTGCATTATTTAACCTAGTATAGTTATGGTAGAGGAGTCTTGGTGGTACAACATTAAATGCTTGGGTGCCAACCAAAAGGATGGAAGTTTGAGCCTGCTCCACATTTTTGTACGAAAAAGAGCCAACATGCTGCTTTCATCAACATTCCCAAACCAGAGTTCACTGCCATGGGTAGATTCTGACTCATGGTGACCTTGTGAAACAGAATAGAGCTGAACATAGGGTTTCCAAGGCTGTAAATATTTATAGAATCAACTGACTCAGAGAGACTAGTGTATTTGAACTACAATCTTTTGGTTAGCAGCTGAGTGCTTTGACCACTACACCATTAAGTCTCTTTCAATAAAGAATATATTCAAGGAAACTCTAGAGTTCTACTTTGTCATATGAGGTTACTATGAGTCAAAATCAACTCCATGGCGCACAGTAACGATAATAATTACAGCAAGAACATGTACCATTTCTCAGCTTTGTTTCTCTTTTATCTGTTTATCTTGTAGATTGTAAAAACTTCCTAGTAATGTAAGAAAGTTTTGTCAAGAGTATTTAAAAATAGATGTTTTGCGATGTTATCACACATAAGCACTTTGTTGCTTTCTCAATAGGGTGTAAAATTATAAGGATAACTAGCACATTTCCCTTGTACTAGAGGGGGAAAAATAAATGTTACAGATCTGGACTTTTGATACCTCTTTAATGTGATTTATTTTTTCTTTTTTTTAGGACTGTAGCATACAAGAAAAAATTGACTTAGAAATCAGAATTCGAGAAGGAATATGGAAACTACTTTCTTTGAGCACTCAAAAAGACCAGATTTTGCATGCAGTAAAGAATCTGATGGTGTGCAATGCACGAATAATGGCTTACACATCAGAACGACAGAAATTAGAAGAGCAGGTCCCAGATCAGACTGGAGGATGGTTAGTAGCATAGTTTACCTCTGGAATATATATATGGCATTGAAGTTTTTCCAATTAAAAAGTTTAGTCTAACCTTAAGAACAAATGACTACTCACCAAAGCTTTTAAAAAATGAGTTGCATTGAAATAGCAACAGAGACCAGACATAGGTTTTGGGGTTTTTTTCCTCTCAAACCAAGAGTGAACTTATTATTATTAAAGTAGCGTTTTTTTCACTGAGTAGTTTTGTTGTGTTCAGCACTCCAGATTATATAATGAAAGTGTAACCACATAGAAAGAGAAAAATTTAGGAAGACCATGTCTGAAAACTAAATATAGTACTTTTTGTCTTTTTTAACTCCCTAGAGCAAATGAAAAATTTCTTTGGACATTAATGTACTTTTATTACATCATTGGTAAATATTTAAAGAAAGAGAGTTCTATAAAATCAAAATACTGTAGTTGTAATAGATACCTGGGTAAGATAGGACCAGTATTTGTTATCTTTGGGATAGATAATTTAATCATTCGTGTTTCACTTCCTCCACTGGTACAATGGGGATGATTATATTTACACTTTGAAAACGAAAATTATACATTCATAGAAACCTAGTACAATGCCTCTGACATACTCAGCAAATGGCAAGTATTTTTTTTATTTATCCCAAACATTGTAAAATAAAATTCTAGTGTCATAATCTAGGAAAAGACTTTTTTTTTTTCCAACAATGAATGAATGAAAACCCAAAATCTCTGTAAATGTTCATTAAAATGAATAAAATTTAATTTAAAAAAATAAAATTTTTTTAAAAAAGGAAAATACTTTTTGATAGGCATGTATTGGTTTAAATCACTGCTTCTCAAATTTCTTTCTGGCAAGTCTCTAGGAGATAGTAGGTAAAAACCCTTATCTCCCAGTGATGCACAGTATTTTACAGCATCAGTTTTTTAAACTATTACATGAGGAATTTAGAATTTGCCTAATTTTGAGTTACAGTGCTCTCCTATTCATAAGATTTTGTTTTTCATTTTCTTTATCCTTCATTAGAATATTTTGTCAAAGGAGCCCTATTTGAGCTGGAAAGTTTGAGAGGCACTAGTTTAAGTAAAAAGTAAGCCTAAGCACTCAATTTTATGTAATTTTTCATGGTTCCTAAACTATTATTCCGAAAATTTTCTGTCCTCCATATTTAATATTCTTAATATTTACAGTGACTTGCTAAATCAGCCATATGATATTTCTTAATTGCTGTTTTATAAAAATGTTAAATAAGCCTGGTTTCTGTAGGAGTTACATAGCAAAGATGGGAAAACTACGATTTTTTGTTTTATTTACTTATTTTTTTGATTGATAAAAATAGTTTTGTTGCTACATGCACATGCTTATTCTAACACACTGTATTCACTGATTCTTATGAAAACATTGCTCCCTTCAAGAATTCTTTCCAGTGTTTAAAAATATATTTATAACTATTTTGTGTTGGTTCTTTCATTTTCAACTTCATTGTGTATGTACAGATAGAAGCTCATCACCTGTGACTGGATATTACAGTAGTTGTCTTCTGTATTACAGGAAAGATATGAAGATTTAGAATCTTAACAGTTTTCTGAATTCCTTCAAGAAAGTGATTTAATTTTGTCTTTGATTTATTAATCAAACGTTTATCAAATATCTACTACTTATATATAAGAGTATTTGTGTCGTAGGGAGCTCTGACGGTCTAATGGGTAGGGAGTTGCCCTACCAACCCAAAAGCATATGGTTCGAGTCTACCAATTACATCACAGAAGAAAGATGGGCAGTCTTTTCCCTTATGATTTATAGCCTCTGAAAACCCATCAGCAATGAGTCATTTTTAACTCAGTGACAATGACTTTTTAAAAAGTTTTATATGTATATAACAGCAAAATACATTTTTTAAAAACCCCACCCAAGTGAATCCCAACAGCAGAAATTTATTTTCTCACAGTTCTATAGAATAGACATATGAACTCATGGCATCAGCAGAGCTACATTCTTTCTGTTGGTTAGACAGAAAGATCCTTCTGTTTCTCATTCAGCTTCCAGAACACTTAATTGTGAGCAAAGAGATAGTGAGTGGTTAATTAGGAATGGCGTGTATCAGGTTTGTATCCATTCACTGGCCTTATCCAGTATGCATGCTGAGCAAATAATCTTGAGACACTGGACTATCAGAAGCATCAGGTGTCAGAATTAGAGGAAGACTATACAAAGTGTGTGACAGACATGGAAAAGGCATGATCTGACCTCCACTAACTTGACAAGTGAGAAGAATCCCCATTTGCGCACAAAACTAATTCGTGTTGGAGTCACACATACCCCCAACAGTTCACATCTTCTACCAATTCTAATACCAATTGTCCTCCCATAATACTTCTTTTCTCCAGGATTCAGTGTTGAATGCAGTGGTACATAGAATTCACAGATAATATTCACACTTAATGAAGTTTATTATATAAGTAAGAGGTTGCTATCCAGATTTGAGAACACAGGATACCATTTCCATCAGGACACCCTTTTCTCAAGTAAGCTTACAGGTGTTCCTCTCTCTAAACCTTGGTCTTGTCACTTAGACCTCTGTCTTGCTCCGGCAAATGTCACCTATCCTTTTAGCTCTGCCAATGACATGCTGGGGGCATATAACCCTCGCCCTCCCCAGTAAATTTGGACCTACTGTCACTTGGCTCTGGCTCTCTGCATTGGGAGCCCACAGCTCTGTTTCACATTGATTTCTGGTTCAGTGTTGCCATCTTACTGTCTTGCACTACTACAGTTCTTTGTCTCTGTACAGAAATTGCAGGTCCAAATGACACTGCACTCCACAGTTCTTCTTTCTTGGTAATAGTAATATCCCAATTTTATGCATCTAAACCAACCACTTTAAGGCTGACAGGATGGTCAACCTGACCAGTGCCCACTTTAGAGTTCTGTATGTCTTCTTTGCATGTTCCCACCTAGAGGGTGCTGTTTACCTTATTTAAAATATCGGCCACACACACTTCATATGTGCATAGCTCAATCCAGCCTTATCAGGAGAATAACAAAGGCAATGGCTGGAAGGCTATAATAAGTAATCCACAGAATCACAAAGGCTCTTTAACAACCTTTAATACATTGATGGTGCAGAATTGCTTGCTGAAAGCAAAGAGGACTTGGAACCCTTACTTAAGATAAAAAACTAGCATTAAATATGGATACTATCTCAATATAAAACAAAAATACAACTGGTAAGCAACATCATAGTTTGTGCAAAAAAGTTGAATCAAAGATTTCATTTTACTTGGGCTCACAATCAGTGCCCATAAAATCAGCAGAGAGAGCAAATAACATAACATTGAGCAAATCTGCTATTAAAGACTGCTTTTTAGAGTGTTAAAAACAATTATAGAAGAATTAGTATCTTTGAGCTGTGGTGTTAGAGAAAAGTGCTGAATATCCCCTGGCCTGCCAAAAGAACGAACAAATATGTCTTGGTGAAATTGTAGCCAGAGTGTTCCTTGGAGGCAAAGAAGATAAAGCTTAAAAAAGAAGAAAGAGTTGCTAGGAGAGGTTATTCCTTGTTGAGGGACATCATGCTTAGAAAGGTGGAGGGTAGCAAAGGAGAGGAAGATCCATAACCAGTTGGATTGACACAATAACTGCTGCAATGGGCTCGAGTATGTCCATGATTATGGAGGATGACATATGATAGGACAAGGTTCAGATCAGTTGTTCATAGGATCACTGTGAGTGATGGCATCTATCAACAATAACAAAAGCAAACATACCATCTTGAGGATTAAGGTGTGCCTGACTTAAGCCATGGTATTTTTAATTGCCTCATCTGTATGCAAAGGTTAGTCAATGAATACGCAAGAACTGAAGCCTTTGAATAGGGTGTTGGTGAAGAATGTTGAATATTGGGAATGTAAGCAGATAGAACAAGTCTGTCTTGGAAGAGTCTGTCTGTCTGAATGCTCCTTAAAGGTGAAGGTGAAAAAATTTGACATATGAACAATGTAACATACACTTCATAGATAATGTTTTGTCCTGTCTAAATTTGCTGGGAGCCACCTTTTTAAAGTGCTTAATAGCAAAGATGTCACTTAAAGACTAAAGTGCCCCTGACCCAAGCCATGATATTTCTCATATGCTTGTAAAAAGTTGGACAATGAATAAAGCTGAAGAATTGATGCCTTTGAATCATGCTGCTAGTGAAGAGTAGTGAATATTCTCTTAGCTGTCAAAAGAACACACAAATCTATCAGAAGTGAAAGCAGAATGGCCCTTAGAAAAATTTTGTGACTGAGTCCCACATACTCATCATTTATAAGGGGCCAGTCCCTGGAGAAAGATGGCATGCTTGGGAAAAGTAGAGAATCTGTAGCAAGATGAAGGCGCATAACGAGATAGATTGACATAGTGACTGAAACAATGGGCCTAAATGCAGTATGAGATTATGAGAATGGCAAAGAATTATGTTGGCATCATCTTGACAATACCTAATAACAATTTTTATGACCATATTAAATACATTGGGCATGTTAACAGGAGAGATTAGTCCTTAGAAAAGGAGATAATATTTGGAAAAGTAGAGGGTCAGTGAGAGAGGAAGACTTTCAATAAGATGAAAATTGACACAGTGACTGCAGCACTTGGCTTAAGCATGGCAGAGACTGTGAGGATGGCACAGACCCAGGAGTATTTCATTCTATGAAACACAAGGTAGTGATGAGGAGTTGTCTTGATGGCACTTAATGTTTTTATGGCTGTTCCATCTACTCTTGAGAATGCTCTATTTCTTTTAATTCACATATAAACTTAATATGTTTAAAAGTTCTGTGTTACTGATTATATTTTTAAGGACTTCATAGACTGTAGGGAGTTTCCCTGCTAACTCAAAGCCACACCTCCCTGATGGTTCAAATCCAACAATTGGCCCTCAAGAGAAAGATGTTTAGTCTTTCATATGATTTCTTTCCTTGGAACTCAATAGAGGGTCAGCCGTAACTCAGTGGCA